AACAGTATAAAGACAGTATAAGAAGAGTATGACAAAAAAATAATATAATATAATACAATATAATATAAACACTGTACAAGAGAAAAAAAACAGTAAAAAAATAAAAATAAAAAAATAAAAAAACACTACAGATAACACAATAACACAAATACTAGCAGACACTGTTGAGGCTGTTTTGTATTCTACCTTCTTATATTGGCGATACATTATTAAGAACTGGTTTAAAGCAGAAGACAATCAAACAGTAAGACTACACGTGATCAGAGCCAGAGCTATTTTGGGGTCCCGTTTATTTCCTTGTAGGAAAAGTTGGGTGACTCAGAGACTCTTCAAGTCTTGGATGACCGTGAAACTCTCCTGGTTGAATCACCAGGACAGTCAGAACAAATGTGTGTCAAGGTATCTTGATAAGGTATGAGACTGCAGACATAGAAACGTACCCACTAACAGCAGAAATGACATATTACACGTGTAAGGGTCAGGTGTTTTGTCCAATCAGGCTGCAAGCGAAAGCCTCGCTATGCTAACCATATGATGCTAAATCTGGCACATTTTTAGTATTCTCTTTTTTCATCAACAAGTACTCCCACTCTCTGACCTGTCCGCTGTGTAGTTATTAGAGAAACACACTCTAGACACTCGCATATGACCAACATCTGCATATTACAAGAGAAAAACAGCAACATCAGCAAAGGGCTGAGCGGAGGCAGCGTGAATACTGACTCACAAACACAGCAAAAAGACACATACACAGCTAATTCAGCAGCTTTGCCCTTGTGCCTCTCATCAGTGTGAAGTAGAGGATGAGGTCAAGGGAGACACATCCACACAGGGACGAGTGGGGAGAGTAAAAGGACAAGATGTTCAAAAAAACAAAAAGTGGTGAGAATGCAGGCAGAGGTAGAGAACGGGCTGCTGAACAACAGATGAGAGATTTAAAAAGGTGTGTGAAGGGGTGATGGAGGGGGAGGAGGGGAAGGAGGAAATGGGAGGAGGTTGGCATTAGTCATTCTGTCTCTATTAATTGGACTGCAATTACCTGGCTTTTGGCCTTCTTAGCACTCCTTTAGATAGAACGTCAGGCCCATCCATCAAACTGTTTGTCCAAGCGGCCGGTGTGAGCGTCGCAGAGAGGAAACCAGACAGAAAGGAGAGTAAACCACCGTTCACACCAACAAGTACAGAGCTCAACAGGTTCCAGGAGTAAAAACTACATTCATATTCTCAATAAAGCGTTTCGTTTATTAGCCATAAAGTCGTTAACGTTGTTTTATTTGCGATTTCATGGAAAAAGTACTACACTACCCACAATCCTCAAGTGTAACAGCGTCATGTCTGACTGGTAGAAATTCAAGACGTAATGCGCTACTATTGTTGTCATTCGCAATGGATTATGGGATGAGTAGTTCCTTCAATCCGCACTATATACTATACTATATACCTCCCCATCATAAATAAATATAGAACAAAGATTGTGTAATACAACATCTAACCAGGGTCTGGTAAACAGTGTTGACTTATTACTTATTAAAATGATATTACTTTCCTGCTACTGCCCACAAAATTGTGTCTTTCCAATTTCCAGCTACTGAATGTTTCCATCTTCCAAATTAATTTCCTTCTTTTTCTGGAGAGCGTTACCGTAATATAATTACTGACATTTATTAGTAATTAATTACATTATTACTAGTTATGAGTTAGTGCCCAACACTGCTGGTAAAATTAGGTTTTTGATTAATATTATGAACATTATGTTAAATAAGCCTTGTCTCTGTTGTTGTTGCTTTAAAAGTCAGGATAAAGCTGGGAGGAGAATAAATGGAACTGGAATGGAAGTTTTGTGTGATGCCAGAAGCACAGGGTTGAAGTGTGAACTCGGAGCAGATGTTCCCCGGTGACTTTACCAACTGCGTGAACGAGTCGGTATGTGTGAGTTCTCACCAACAAGTTCCACATTGTGTCACCCTGTGATCTCGTCTTCTTTAGTTTCTTCTTTGCTCTCATTTGCCTGCTGACTTCATCATCTGTCGCCTCACCGCGTCCCTCCTTTGTATTCTTTTTATCTCCGCTCTCCGTCGGCCACAGCGGCCGAGGTGAGGACGTGTCAGCTCTGATCCCTCGCTGTCACATCAGCCTGTGATCTTATCGCCGTGCGGGGCGGGAATAGCAGCCATCTTCGTTAGCATTCAGGCCATGATCCCCGGGTTCCCGGAGCCCAGCAAGCCTCGGCTTTGAATGACTCGGATGGGAATGAGATGTCAGTGTGTGTGTGAGGGCAGCAACACCTGCCAGCATCAATCACAAGACTGCAGCCCTGAGACCAGCAGACACACAAACAGTTGTGTACTGACACACACATATAGACAACTCAATGCTGCTCACTGGAACTATTTGTTGCTCATCCAACATTTGTACACAAACGCAGTCACGTACCTGCAGAATATAGAACTCAACAGATATATAGAGTCCATTTAAACTACCGTTATGTGTCTGAAGGCTCACACACGCACGCGTAATGGCTGCCTTTTAGCTCTCAGAGCGAGCTGTGGCTGGGTTTTGACAGAGAGTGTCCTCTATCTATGTTTTATTCACAGTTTGGTCACCTTGAAAGAGACAGCTGAAAACAAACAAACACTTTAGGGAGCCAGAAGGGAGAGTGGGGAATGGATTTCAGTAAGCACAGGCTTCACACGGAGCTGAAGGAGGGGTCAGATGGACTGTGCACCAGCTTTATTATTATGTAGATGGGAAGGTGGACGCAGGTAAAACCACTGATTGCTGTTGGTGTAAAAGGGTCAGCACCGACTGGGAAAAGCCTCCAGATCCCATAATCCCCAGGTTTACTTTGTTATAGTACCTTTACCACAAAGACATCAGTTAGAAGTCAAGGCGAGGATTGCTCCACTGTGATTGGAGCACAGAGCAAAAAGGGGTGTGGCTTAGGAAGTGGTGTGTAGCCATGGCTAATATCCCACAGGGGTTGTGTGCACAGCAGTTAGAAACATCTATAACATCAGCGTGTGAGTCGGACTGGATTATAATCTGTTGTAGAATCGATTTAATCAACTAAACAAGTTCTTTCTACTCAAGCTGTTCTTTCATTCACTGACATCTACGTATATTTATACACGTGTGCTTGTGTACAACAAGCGTCACACAGTGAGTGGGCACAATCAATAGTAACTGATTTATAAAGCCCACTTAACTTTAACTCTGCTGACCAAAGGAACAAAGCACTTCTGATCTGTGAGTCAGTGCATGAAGGAAAAGCAACAGTGATCAGGACTGACTCACCATCGTGTGTGTGTGTGTTTACAGTGTGTGTGTGTGAGACAGGCAGAGAGAGAGCGACAGTAAAACGATGATATTCAGATCACGATTCACATCAGACAACCTCCTCAATAGCTTTTGAAAGACCCGAGTAAATCCACTTTAAAATGGCCGAGTTCACAAGACACACACTGAACATAAATCCTGTGTGTGTGTGTGTGTGTGTGTGTGTGTGTGTGTGTGTGTGTGTGTGAAGAGACTCCCAAAAAAAACAACATAATCGACATACCGTCAAGTGACAAAATGGGAAATGTTCTGGATTTAAATAGATTTTCGAACATTATGTGGGGAGGCACTTGTATTTTTTATCTTTGCTGCAGGGAGGGGAAGTATTCAGATCCTTCACTGGAGTAAAAGTACTAATACCACAGTACAAAATACTCAATAAATATGTTACTGAAGTAGTAAAGTAATGTACTGGTGGTAGGTGAGCTCCCTCTAGTGGTACATGGAGGAATCTCTAAATATTTCAGTTTTTAAATTAAATATATTCCCAACTACAAACAGTTTGGTGGCGGTTTGAGCAGGAAACTAAAACGATTTGTCAAAGTTGCGGAAAAGTTGCAGTGATTGTAGAAAATTGCGATATTGTTTAAATTTCATGGCGATTGGTTGAATTTGCGTTCACTGTCGCAGTCGCAACTTCCTGGAGGGACTGAACAATGTTAGGAAGGTTTCATCAAATCTGTGTGCAGCGATCATCGATGTCTTATAGAGAAACATCTCGTCAGTCGGGCAAATTAAATGTTAAAAATGTTTTTATCTCCATTAACAACATTAACTCTTTCAGATTGTGTCGTATCTGGAGACTTGAAACCAGACCTGTTCAGTTTGGACCCTGGTTCATCTGATTTCTGTTTGTGGACAAGTGGCAGCAAACACATCACGTGTGTTTCAGGGTTACTGTTGCTTTCTATAGTCCGAATAAAAGCAGCACAAACACATTTATTGCTCTGAGACCTTGAGACGCTTTCATTGTGAAGAATCTATAAAACATTACTGAAGCAGGAAATGTTACCAAATGGATCCCAGGATGTACAAACAGGCTCACAGCTGTCTGCTCAGGAAACATTTTAACAGTGAGGATGTGAGTGTGTTATTCTAAAGGGGCAGTTCACCTAAACTACAGAAAACACATATTTAAATATGTCTGGATCTCACAAGATGAATGTAATCACACATCTAGAGCAGTTTTAAAGGACCAGTGTAAACAGCAACCAACCTCAGTGGCTGCAGTTCCTCTAACTGCCACTAGAGGCTGGCTCCAGCTGTGAGTCAGTCTCCATAAGGTCCCATATTAAAACTTTACAGCAGAAACATGTTTACAGCCTTTTGGTCTCTACAGCTAATTCCCCCGTTCATGGCGACTGTACAACTCACCCCTTTAAATGATATTAAGGCTGAAAGTTCTGTACACAAGCAGCTGTTTTCAGTTACCGGGCTCCATTCGGCCCGCCTCAGCTCCGATACAGTCCAGAATAAAAGAGGCTGAGTGGGATTAAACCAGAATGACTGGACTAGATTTGCTCTCAAAGCAAAATGAGAACTTTTCCAAAAACCACTTTGTGAATCTGTCGCTCTCTGAACAGCCTGTCGTGTTCGAGTGGAGATGAAGAGCCTGTCGAGCCTCTGCTGCATGTCGAGCTGCTCTCCAAAGCTCGTAGTGCCTGTGTGACTCCTGCAGCCTCCTCCTCCTCCATCCTGCTCCAAAAACCTGCTCACACTGTTCGCTCGCTCTCTGTTCACAAGTTCAGACATTCGTTCATCACAGTGATCCCTGACGGCCATCTTCTAACACAGAGTCAGTCACCATGAAGGAGTATGATAGTGTGTGAGTGTGTGTGTGTGTGGGGGGGGGGGGGACATCGCTATAGGAAACATAGGAGAGAAAAGAAAAGAGACAAGGAAATGAAAGTAGGTGAAAGGAAACAAGAGAAAAGGACAGGAGACAAGGTGAGGAGAGGAAAGAAGAAACAAGCGGGGGAAAGGAATGTTTAGGAAAGGAAACAAGATAAAACAAGGGAAGGAATCAAGGAAAAGAGAAAGACGAAAAGAAAAGAGGAAGAGATGAAAGAAAGAAAGGAAAAGATGTCAAGGAAAGAAAACAAGGAAAGAATACAGGAGGAGGAAAATACATAAGTGGAGAGGAGAGGAAATGAGAGGAAAGGTAAGGAGACAGTGTGATGACATGAAACAAGGAAAGGAAATACGTGACGGAGAGAAGACAAGAAAAGGAAACATGTTACAGAAAGGAGAGAAAGGAGAAAGGGAAACAAGTAGAGGAGGCAAGTTCAGGAAAAACAAAAACAGAGGAAACAAGGAGAGGAAACAACAGGAGACAGAGAAGACAGAGGAGACAGAGGACGGTGGTCCAGTATTATCGAGAGACAACTGACATTATGCCTCTCTCTCTTTCTCTTGGCCGCCCTCTCTCTCCGCCACTCGTCTGCAATCTGTTCGTTTCTGTGAGTTTGTTCTGCTAACGAAGCCTCGTTTGCTGCCGCGTCCCTCAGGACAGGAGCAGCCTCATGTTTGAATAATGACAGAATAAAGATGGATAATAACCTCCAACCCGCCCCCGCTGAGTGTGTGTGTGAGTGTGTG